TAAAGTAAAAATAAACTGTCTTTGTTACACTCAGAAGACATTTCGGTTTAATTTCTTAGATGACCTTTACTTTAGTTTTAAACATTTAAAAGTAAACTTTTTAAGGCACATTTTTGATATGTTTGTAAATATTAAGTAGTTTGTCGGAGAAACGGTAAATTATATTAAATTATAATAAATTTTTTCCAATTTTCATGTACAAACATCTTTTTTTAAACCACCTTGGTCTGTATTTTTGATTACTACTGAGGCAGCCGAAACATTATACAGGTTGTTCCGTCTAAACCCCACATTACAAGTATTGAAAGTTCGAATAATCATATTTATTTGAAAATTGGTACATAGCCATAATCCATTAAGTCTTGCTAAAAGAAAATATTTTCAAGATGGCGGCACTTTTGGTTATACCGGAAGTCGGTGTCAACTTTCTTATTTTAAATGGAAAGGTTCATTTTTTATTGCGTTTTTGGATTAATCGGGTTATTATAAGGGAGTTTTCATCAGCTTTCCATATACCTAAATTTAGGTGTTTTTGAAATATTTGGAGTTTTTCAAAAAATTTTGAATCTGCACCTTCCACTTTAAAAATCGGATACTCTGCAATTTTTTTAAATTTTGAATTCATTTTTTTTTTGACGTTTAAAAGAGAAATTTTAGATCTTTGTTATGGTGTTTTCAAATTTTGAAAAAAAATAACAAACCCAAAAATTTTAAGGTTACTTTTGTAATAAAAAAATACCTATAACTCAATTTTTCCAAATAAAATACCCTAATTTTTAATTTACTAAATGGAAGAGAATTTAATTCTGCATCGATGTGTATTAACATTCCCTAAACCTAAATTTAATAATTTTTAAGTTATGGTGACCTTTTGTTAAGACTGCAGAAAATTCATTTCTAGCCACACCCGTTTTCGCATAGTTTGCTATGGAAATCAAAAATGTGTATTAACATACAGATCGGTGCAGAATTAAATTCTCTTCCATTTAGTAAAATACAAATTGGTATTTTATTTGGAAAAATTGAGTTATGGGTATTTGAATTATTACAAAAGTAACCTTAAAATTTTAAGCATTGTTATTTTTTTTCAATTTGAAAACACCAAAAGAAAGATCTAAGCTCTCTCTCTCAAACGCCAAAAAAACGAATTCACAATTTAAAAAAATGGAAAAGTTACCGATTTTTGAATCGGAAGATGCAGATCCAAAAATTTTAGGAAAATTCCAAATACTTCAAAATCGGCTAAATTTAGGTATAGGGAAAGCTGATGAAAACTCCTTTATAATAACCCGATTAATCCAAAAACGCAGTAAAAAATATACCTTTCCATTTAAAATAAGATAGTTGAGACCGACTTCCGGTATAACTGAAAGTCTTGAAAATATTTTCATTTAGGAGGACTTATGGCTATGTACCAATTTTCAAATAAATACGATTATTCAAACTCCCAATACTTGTAATGTGGGGTTTAGACGGAACACACTGTATAATACCCACTAAAAATTATAATTAACAGCGGATATTTAATCACAAAGTGAAGAATAAGAAATGATTTACTTACTAGTAGGTGTACTTGTATAATTTGCATAAAATCCCAATCCCTGAACCGAAGAATCTGCCTTAAATTTGACAAACATAAAATTCCCGGAACTTCTTAATGTGATTGGTTTATTCTGATGGCAAAGCGTTGCAATCTCAGGATATGTTTCATCTTCACCGTTGTACAATATTATGTAGTCCAAATGGCAAATAGATGTTTTTTCAATATCTAGTTTGTGAAAAGTAATTTCAATATTGTTTCCAAAATCAACTTGTATTTTCCAATTGCACTCAATAGAAGGCGGATA